ACCCCTTTATTATATTCATCAAGGATTATGGTTACCATTAGATTTATTTACTTTGGAACACTAATTGTTCAACTTTATTTTTTTTCCAATTCAATCACTGAATCACTAACATAATATGGTACATTACAATTTTTCTAGATCTGTAACCAATATTACAAATAACAATATTAGGCCTTTTATTAAAGATATTTATTATTTAATTTGTATGTCAGTTTGTCAATATCTTAGTATTTTTGAAATCTATTACATTACCTAAATCAGAAATGCAGGATCATCATTAGTGTATAATTATTAGGCAAGTTATAGGTTGGTTTAGAGTGGAAAAATATATTATATTGATAAATGTTAGTTAGACATATAATTAATTAAAATTCAGCAAAACCTCTATGTAGTGGACAACTATGATGAACTAAAAAATGTCCACCAGAAGTTGTCCACTATAGCAATGTTGAAAAAACTTCTACATAGTGGACATTTACAAGAAATTACTAAATTTCCCTATAGGAAGACATTATAAAGAATTGTTCATACATAATATACAAATTCAATATACATACATTGCAATTGGTACATATAAATTTATTATTTACTATATACAAGTACAATATGTATGTATTTAAATGTGGGTAAAAAAAAGGTTTAAAGTTTATGCTTAATTAAAAAATCTGTAATCATTTTTGTGTAAATTTTTCAGTTTTCTGCTCTTCATAATGATTTTAAAAATTGGCTACTATTGATAATGCAATCTCTTTACTTTATTTTTAAAATATGTTTTTAAATTATTTGTTTTTCAAATTTCTTCAAATATTGGATTATGAATCGACTCACATWAAAATAATATGAACGAAATCTGTAGAAGATAAATATAGTTATTTCATTACATAAATATTTTTTATCTAAACATGTATTGTGTTCATTAATGAAATTCTTAATTTTGGTACCAGTTTTTAGAGTCCACATCCATTATTAGGTGGGTCCACTAATAGATGTTTCACTGTATAATAAAACTTTGATAAATTTAAACAGCACTGAATGTTTAATAAAAAGGACTTATTTAAAAATATTATGTGACGGCATTCACACACTTAACCTAGATTCTAGATTTATTGAACTTAAATATAGTTAACTGTGTTTAAATAAAATAATGAAAAACATAGAGCTAAACTTGAGTATGATATATAAAGGTCCAAAGCWGTAGTCACCAGCCACTGTTACAATAAATTTCATCAATGAAATTAAAAAACTATTTTATCAAGAAACATGTGGAAAAACTTGTATATCATCTACTTTTTATGTTTGATAAATTACTAAAAGTTTTCTCTTAAAAACATGCCTCATTGCATTGTAATCAGTACAATAAATAATTGCCTATTTTGCTAWATACTACGCTTAAACTATCATCAATAAGAATTCAGCAGCAACTTTGTTAACATAATTTTGCATGTTTTTGAGTATTATAAAAATCTCTTTATCTAGTAGGGTAATTCAAGTTTCAATATAATTCAACATTAAAATATTTCAATATTTGTTGAGCGATGGACATCATACTTATCCATTATCCATCTACCATCTCTGCCATACAACATTTTATTACATAATTAAATTTAATTATATCTCTAAGTTGAATTTTATTGATAATAAAAAATAAAGCATGGGATAGAAGATTTTTTTGTCTTTTTGATTATTTATTGTTTATGAAATCGACATAACTTTTATCCTATTAAATCTTTAGTTAAAAAAATAGAATAAGTTTAACAAATCATTTATTAATATTATAAAATATTGATATATAAAATAAATTTTTGAAACCAACAATATAAGTTAAAAATATATATATAGAACTTGATACAAAATATTTAAAAAAAAATTCTAATAATTTAAATCTTATTTTGTCAGAGATGAAATAGCCTTTTTGGCTGCTTCATCGAGATCAGAAGCAAATTCAATRGATAATCCAGACTCTTCCAAAAGTTTCTTGCCAGCAGACACATTTGTACCTATAAGAAAAATAAAATAATTCTAAATAGGTGTAAAAAAAAACATTTAATTAAAAAACTTACCTTCTAATCTTACAACTAACGGGACTTTTAAATCCAACTTTCTTGAAGCATTTATTAAGCCTTTTGCTATTGTTGCACAATTTACAATTCCACCAAACACATTAACTAAAATCGCTTTAACAGATGAATCTGTAAGAATTATTTCAATTAGTATTTAGTATAATGCATTCCAGAAAATAAATCAATTATTTAGAATGTTTACCCAATGTCAACAGTTTGAAAGCTTCATATACTTGATTTTCATTAACATTACCCCCAACATCTAAGAAGTTGGCCGGTTCTCCACCTCGCAATTTAATTATATCCATAGTAGCCATTGCAAGACCGGCTCCATTAACTACAAAAATTAATAAATGGAGATTTTTTATTCGACTGTATAATAGTGTACTGGAACATAAGTTTAAATATTTTACCTAGACATCCGATATTTCCATCCATACCAATGTAATTTAAGTTATGTTTATTAGCCATCACTTCACGAGGGTCTGATTCACTTGTTTCATCCAGCTCAAATATTTCTTTATGTCTGAATTGACTATTATCATCAAATTGAATTTTAGCATCAACGCATACAACTTTGTTATCCAAAGTTTCAACTAATGGGTTAATTTCTATTTGAACTGCATCAACAGACAAAAAGAATTCCCATAATCTTTTTATTTCATTTGCTGCCTATGAAAAAAAAAATAAAAAAATATATTGTAATATTTAGTATAAAAGTATGAATGGTATAATACTCACCACAGATGTCAATGGTTCATTAAAATTCAAAAACTTGGCTACATCTAAAGCTACCTTATCAGAAATACCTTCAAATATGTCAATAGGAATTTTTTTTATTAATTCCGGTGAATTAACAGCAACATCTTCAATATCCATTCCTCCAGCTGGAGAAGCTATTAGTACTGGGCCATTTTGACCTCTGTAAGCATAAACATTCAACATTCAATATAATATATTTAATAGTTTTGAAACAAACACAAATATTTTAGAAAGTATACACCATTTATGTTAGATTTAATTCAAATATTTGACTTACCGATCCATCAATATACAGAAGTATGTTTCCCTTTTAATATCAACAGATTCTGCAACCATAACTTTGGAAACTAATATTCCATCTTTGGGAGTTTGCTTAGTGATTAACTTATGGCCTAACATATTCTTTAATAAATCATAAATCTTTGTCCTCCTAAGAAAATAAAAATGTATGATTAAAATTTAAAAACAGACAAAAAGAAAAAAATTGTTTTTTTTTTCAACATAAATACAGTAGTCACTCGATAATTCAAAAAACACCATAAATTGAACTACATGCAAAGTCCCCAGAGAAAACCTCTATAATTAGAAGAAAATACATGTATTCCAGTCCCCTCGATAATTTGAAATGTCTGTTGGTGGGACGGACACACTCTACAATTCAAATTTTTATTCCACAAACCTCTATAATTCGATTCAAAATCTTACGATCAGTAAGTTAAACAATGCTATGGACTAGATTATGGCCAGCAATTTATTACAAAAAAAAAAAAAAACAGATTTTTTTAACATGTAAAATATAATAATATAGTAGATAAATGTCAATTAATAATTTTAAAATATAATATGTATTTATAAATGTAATATGGACATACATACAATTTTTCACCTCTTTTTAATTTGAATTTTTTTCCTTCGATTATTTGAACACTCGGTAAATCGAAAACCTTTATAAATCGAATTTTTAACTCAGTCCCTYGAATTTTGAATTATCGAGTGACTATTGTTATACATGCGCAAATCTTTTTGACAGGGTGGTCCAAACCACACATAATTTAGATACTTAAAGCGATACTAGATATATTATAAATTTTATTTTTCAATGT